CTCCAGGCTGAGCCCCCCCAGCTCCCTCAGCCTCTCCTCACAGCACTTGTGCTCCAGTCCCTTCCCCAGCCTCGTTGTTCTCCTCTGGACCTGCTCCAGCCCCTCCATGTCCTTCCTGAGCTGAGGGCCCAGAGCTGGACACAGCACTCCAGGGGTGGCCTCACCAGTGCTGCTCTGGGCACTTCCAGGGGTGGGGATTCCCTCCTGTTCCTGTTCCCGTGCCTGGCCACTCTGGCCATGAAGGAATTCTCCCTGAGGTCCAACCTGAACCTCCCCTGGAGCAACTTGAGGACGTTTCCTCTTGTCCTGTTGCTTGTTACTGGGAGAAGAGCCCGACCTCCTCCTGTCAGGGAGTTACTGGGATATCTGTGGATACAAATCAATAGATACAGATATGAATACACACATTTATATTTTCCTCATATTTTTCTATGTTTTCCCTGTATTTTTCTATATTTCTTCACCCCATTTATTTCTTCCCCCATTTATTTCTTCCCCTCATTTATTTCTTTCCCCCCCATTTATTTCTTTTCCTCCCATTTATTTCTCCCCCCATTTATTTTTTTCTTTCTTTCCCCCATTTTTATTCCCCCCATTTATTTCTTCCCCTCATTTCTTCCCCCATTTATTTCTTTCCCCCCATTTATTTCTTTTCCCCCCCCCAATTTATTTCTTTTCCCCCATTTATTTCTTTTCCCCCCATTTATTTCTTCCCCCATTTTTCTTCACCCCATTTATTTCTCCCCCCATTTCTTTTCATATTTCTCTACATTTTCCTATATTATTTTTCCCATATTATTTTTCCCATATTTTTACACACACTTAAAAGGTTTGCCAGCTGATTCATGGCTTGCTCAGCCAACCCCACACTGTGGTTGACACTCAAATGATCTCAAAGTCTTTTGTGGCTGTGGGGAAAAAATTAAGGAACAAATGGATTTTTCAGGAGGAAAAAATATAATATTCCCTGAGTTTAAAAGTTGCCTTCAGTGGAAGCTCCCTGGTGAGGTGTAATGGCTGTTTGGAAAAGGGATGCTGGGATTTGGGGTTTTTTTTTTGGGAGGCATCTTAAGGAAAAGGTGGAAAACCTTGTTCACCATCACCTGGATCTGATTCCAGTGGTGATTCCAGAACTAACTGGGGAGCAGGATCCACTCCCAGAGGCATCTCTGCTGCTCCACATCCCTGCTGGGGTAGAACTGGGTGGAGAGGAGGATTTGCATGTCAAAACAAGCTTCAGGAGTGACAGGAGCTGTTCCTTCCCTCTTCCAGGGGTTTAAAGGCTTCCCCTTCTCCATCACTCACTCCTGGCAAAGGTCCAGGGAGCTTTTTGTGGCTTTTTTGTCTGCTCAGGGGGATGATTACGATGCCTTTTTGAGATGAAAATGAAAATCAGGAAGCTTTTCAACCTCCTCTAAACCCACTTGGCTCAGCACAGCCCCTCTGCACTTGTTAATCCTGGGGGGGGCTTTTTTTGGGGTTTGATTTTTTATTTTTTGGTCCTTACAACGAGCCCTGAGGGAATGTGTGTTCCTGGAGCAGCGAGGCTGAACCCAGGGGAAATAAAACCCCTGTTTTTTGGTGTGTTCCAGGCCTTCTCCAGCCTTGCTGAAGCTGCCTATGAAGCTGCAGATGTGGCTGATGATCAGGAAGAACCAGCAACCTACTGCTTGTCCTCCTCCTTCGAGCTGATCGTGCAGAAACTTCTGGAGACTGCAGACAGGTACCAATCTCTCCTGCTTTTACTTCAAACATCTCCTTTTTTTTTAATCTTGAAGCTCTTTTTTTGCCTCGAGTCTCTCCTGTTTTCCTTTGAATCTCCTGTTTTTCAGTCTCTCCTGTTTTTACTTTGAATTTCTCCTCTTTTTACTTTTGAATCTCTCCTGTTTTTACTTTTCAATCTCTCCTAGTTTTACTTTTGAATCTGTCCTGTTTTTACTTTGAATCTCTCCTGGTTTTACTTTTCAATCTCTCCTGTTTTTACTTTTGAATCTCTCCTGGTTTTCAGTCTCTCCCCTCTTCCTCTGAATCTCTCATTTTACCTTAAATCTTTTATTTTACTTTAAACTCCCTGTTTTTGAATCTCTCCTGTTTTAGTTTGAGTCTCTCCTGGTTTTTACTTTGAATCTCTCCTGGTTTTACTTTTCAATCTCTCCTGGTTTTACTTTGAATCTCCTGTTTTTCAATCTGTCTTGTCTTCCTCTGAATCTCTCATTTTACCTTATATCTGTTATTTTACTTTAAATCCCCTGGTTTTGAATCTCTTGATTTTTCCTTTGAATCTCCCCAATTTTGCTTTTAATCTCTCCTGTTTTGACTTTTGAATCTCTCCCCTCTTCCTCTGAATCTCTCATTTTACCTTCAACCTTTTATTTTACTTTAAACCCCCTGGTTTTGAATCTCTCCTGTTTTAGTCTGAACCTCTTGATTTTTCCTTTGAATCTCCCCAGTTTTGCTTTGAATCTCTCCTATTTTACTTCCAATCTCCTGTTTTCCTCTGAATCCCCCCAGTTTTCCTCTGAATCCCCCCAGTTTTCCTCTGAATCCCCCCAGTTTTCCTCTAAATCTCTTCTCTTACTTCCAGTCTCCCTTATTTTACTTTTAACCTCTCCTACTTTATCTTGAATCTCCTATTTTTTTTTGAACCCCCTCTACTTTCCTTTCAATCTGAATTTTAAGTGCCCACTTTCACACCCAACCAGGTTGGCTGCAGGGCCATTGGATAACCAGGAATTTCAGCAGGACACCCAAAATTCCACATTTCCCTGCCTGTTCCCCTCCATCCCTCTCCCCTGGAGGTTCCATCCCTTCCCACCGAGGCAAAAGATTTTTGCTCCCAGCCCTGCAGATGTGAAAACTCAGGGCAAAGCTGCAGTTTTATGGTGCCTTGGAGGTCCCATAAATCCCCCCAGCTCAGAGTTCAGTGCCTGGCTCAGCTCAGTGGAGCCTTTTTGCTGCAGGATTGATCCTCCTTCAATGTTCCTCGTCTGAAGAGCTCAGTCCAAGCTCTCCCTGCCTAATTTCCATCCAGACAGGAGTGTCTGGCTCAAGGCTCTGGAGCCCATCAGTCACTCTCAGCTGTCTTTCTATCCCAGCTCAGTGCCAGGGGGGTGCCAGAGGGGCACTGATGTGCTGCTCACCTCTCTCTGGGGGCTTCGAGGCTTTTCCTCTCCCTCTCCTCCTTCCCAGATGCTGAAAATCATTAATAGAGAATTGAAAAAAAAAAAAGAAAAGTGCTAAAAGTGGCTTCATAAATTTCCTTTGCTTTCAAGGCTTGCAATGCAGGGATGCAAGTGCTGCTTGTCACAGCACTGAAATGTGGCTGTTGCTGGTTTACTAAAATTAAAAAGAAAAAAAAAAAAAGTCTGTTTCTAAGCAAGGCTGAGCCACTGGGAGCTGCAAATTATCCCTTCTGTTCCAGGCCTGATGGACACCAGAATAACTTGAGGAGTTCTGCATATGAATCCCTGATGGAAATAGTGAAAAACAGTGCCAAGGACTGTTATCCTGCTGTCCAAAAAACAACCCTGGTCATCATGGAGCGGCTCCAGCAAGTGCTGCAGATGGAGGTGGGTAAATCCCAATTCGACCTCCCCCCTTACAGAGCTGCTGCTCCATCCCTGGGAGTGTCCAAGGCCACGTTGGACAGGGCTTGGAGCAACCTGGGCTGGTGGAAGGTGGGACTGGGTGGGATTTAAGATCCTGGGATTCTCTTTTGAGCTTCCGCGCAGCCCCTCTTGTCCTTAATTTGAAAAAAAAAAAACAAAAGAACCTAAAAACCCAAATATTTAAACACAGTGTGGATGTGCTGGTGTTGTCAGAACCCAGTGCAGCCTCTTTTGCCTTGTGTTCCAGTCTCACATCCAGAGCACCTCAGACAGAATCCAGTTCAACGACCTCCAGTCCCTCCTGTGCGCGACTCTCCAGGTGAGTGTCCCGCTGTCCCTTGGAGGTTTTATGGGAATGGGGTGGCTCTGGGGGTGCTCCTGTGCCCCTGAGGAGCCAGGCTTGGGGCCTGTTGATCAGATCTGAATGAGGAGAAGTGGATTTGTGTCCCAGCTGACACGTGGGAGGTGAGACGAGGATCAGAAGCCTCGAGTGGCAGAATTTAGGGCAATTTGAAGCAGGAACACTGTGGGCAGCCTGTTAAAGGTGGGATAAAGGATTGTATGTGCTGTCAGCTTGGCTCCTGTGTTGGCTACAGCCTGAACAACCCCTTTGCTTGGCACAGGCATAAAAAAAAAACCCTCCAGCACGGCTCGAATTCCTTCATCTGCCTCCTGTGGTTGGTGTTCTTATTTCAAATGGCTCTAATTAAAAGGCACCAAGAGGCCTTGAAATGAAACATCTGGTAATGAGCAGTGTGACTGGGAGCACCAGGGCAGTGCAGTTCCTTGGTTACTCCTACAGATCCCACTGAAAACACTTTATTTTTTCTTTTTTCCCCCCAAAATCAGCTCTCAGGAGATTGCTCAGAGCACCCCTTTGGAATCTGGGGTGTTTGTCTCCAGGTTGATTTGAGGAATCATTCATCTGCTCCCTCAAAAGCCTTATGGTTGCTTTCACTCTCCAATTTTTAGGTTAATTTTGAAAAATAATGGGTAGATGGGAATAATCTGTCCTTAAGTTGGGCTTTAAAGGGGAGATTCAGTGTCTGGAATCTCCTTTTGGTGATCCCTGATCTCTCCCAGCACAGCTTTGTTTGCCCCTGGGGAGTGTAAGAGAAGTGGAATTAAACTGCCAATTTTAATTTGTAAACATGTGTTTCTTCATTATCCCAAA